CCTGGACTTGTAAGTCTTATTCCTTTCACTAGGTAGGGGAAGTTTTCTGTCATTATTTCTTCAAATAGGTTTTCAATATCTTGTTCACACTCTTTTGGCACCCCCATAATTTGGATGTTGGTACGATTAAAGTTGTCCCAGAGGTTCCTTACACTATCTTCATATCTATATTTCTAGATTCTTTTTGCTTTTCCAATTGGATTTTTTTTCTTCTCCATATTTTAAATCTTTGACTTGATTCTTGGGATCCTTTAGTCTGCTGTAGAATCTCTGGTTATTATTCTTTATTTCAATCAGTGTATGCTTAATTTTTGATTGGTCCTTCAAATCCTTGAGGTCTCACTAAATTTCTTGGAGGTTTTTAGAAGATTCTTGAGTAACCTTATAACCGTGGTTTTGAACTCTATCCAGTATTTTGCTTTCCTCCATTTCTTTCCTTTGTGACTTGTTTCTTTGTCTTTATGTTTTGGATGCTTCCTTGTGTTTGTTTCTATGTACTGGATAGCTGCTAAGTCTCCTTGAGTTGATAGAATGGCCTTGAGTGGTAGGTGTCCCATAGGGCCCAGTGGCTTAGCCTCCCCAGTGGACACTCTTGGTGCACCTTTTTTTGGGCTGTGTGCACAGTCTTGATGTAGTTAACCCTTGATTGCTGTTGATATCATTTGGAGGAATGATCTCCAGGCTAATTGGTTGTGTTGATCAGCTGTATCTACGCTGGAAGATCTGTTGAGCAGGAAACACCCAGGAATTGCTTTATTGGGGCTTTGGTGCTCACTGAATCTGCCCCTTGGGTGCATCTCTTAAGGATATGAAGGGTTCTAATCCAGTATGATCTCACGCTGACCACTGCGTACACTGGCTCTTGAATCTCCAAGGAGGTGCAAGGTCAGCCACTGTCTGGGGCTACAGAGACATCTGCAGATTCCTCCTCTTTGTATGAGGTTTAGAAGTGCACAGAAGAGGCCCAACTGTGAAGGAAAGCCGGATGCTACTACCAGGCCTTGGACCTTCTTTTGGGAGCTCTGGGGCTCTCTGACCCAGCTGCAGTTTGACACGTTTTAGGGGAAAAAGGACAGGCCACTCATATGCAAAAGCCAATGCACACAACTTGGGTGAGGTTGTAAATTGGTTGGGGTGGGGTCTCTGAAAATCACCAGGACAGAGCAAATAGCAATGGCTGCCAGTCATCCCTGCACTGGAGAGGTCCCTTGGTCTCCGAGTCCCATGCCCCTGTGAAGGAACAATGATCACTGTGAGCACGCTGAGAAAAAGCTGCCCTCACATTCCTGTCCCAATGCTAGAGAGTCCAGTTTCTCCCCATATGTGCCTGGGTCCCCCAGAGTCTTGCCCGGAACTGGAGTTCTGACCAGGTGGGAGCTTGTATCTCCCTCCCTATTAAAACAACAGCACATCCAGGTGCCAGTACTTTCTGCACCTCTGCACCTCTTACCGGTCTCAGTGCACAGTGCACAGTGCACTTTCTTCACCTCTCTAGTTGTGGAACTTCCACTCAGCCAGCTTTCCCATGGTTCTGGGTGGTAAGTTGTTTTGCCTTTTAGTTGTAATTTTGGTGTGGTTGTGAGAGGCAACAAATATAGGTGTTTACCTATGCCATCATCTTGGTTCCAATAAAGATTTATTTTAAAAAATAAGATTGAAAGTAGAGTCTTTGGCAATGTAAAAATCCATTAATAAAACCTGCATACATATGTATGTATTTTTAATATATATACATATATATGTATATGTATATATATATATGTGTGTGTGTGAGTGTGTGTGTGTATATGTGTGTGTGTGTGTGTGTGTGTGTGTGTGTGTATATATATAAATAACAAATGTCTCCTAGCATTGGAGGAGAGATAAATTTGCTGTGTTTTGCACTGTATTAAAAGATATGTGTGTGTGTTTTTTGTGTTGTTTTTTTTGTGTGTGTGTGTGTGTGAGCTGTTATATAAATATACTTTTTAATTTTATTAAATTGGTTAAGGTGATATTGGTTAATACAATTATAGATTTCAAGTGTATAAATCTGTAATGTGTCATCTGTATATTGCACTGTGTGTTCACCACTCAACAGTAAAGTCTTCTATGACCATATATTTGACTCTCCTTTAACCTTTTTGCCTTCTCCCACTCCTCTTTCCTCTGATAACCACCATACTATTATCTGTGTCTCTGTTTTTGGTTATTTTAGTTTTATATTCCACATATGACTGAAATCATATGGTTCAGACTTTTTCCATCTGAATTATTTCTGAATTATTTCACTTAGCATGAATATAAGAAAAAATATATATATATTATTTATTTTTTATAGAGAGGAGGGGAGAGGAATAGAAAGGTAGAAACATTGATGAGAGAGAAACATTGATCAGTTGCCTCCTACACACCTCCTACTGGGGATGTGCTCGCAAGCAAGGTACATGCCCTTGACGGGAATTGAACCTGGGACCTTTCAGTCTGCAGGCTGATACTCATACAAACTGGTTATGGCAGCATGACATTTTTTAAAATATATTTTATTGGTTTTATACAGAGAGGAAGGGAGAGAGAGAGAGAGTTAGAAACATCGATGAGGCAGCATGACATTTTTAAGACCCATTTATGTTTTTGCAAATAGCAGTATTTCAGAAAGATTATATGTTTTTAACTCTACCATATTCCTTTCTAAATGCAACATTTACCTAATTCTCCTGCCTAACATATGTCTCAACTATATAATATGATGAAATTTTATCCTACATTTGTTGCCTATCTCCTTTAATAATTATTGCCAATGTTGTTCTTGAAAAATGACAAGCCTTATTACTGTGGGTCACATCAACCTTCCTCTTGTGAATATTACATTTCTTAGAGGCATTATACTATTATTCCCTTCTCTCCCCTCTCCCAGTTTTGGACTTTTATTTTTTGCAAGTTTCAATTTTTCGAATACAGATAGTGGTAGAGTCTGAATGTTTGTGCCCACCCAAAATATAATACATATATTGAAATCCTAGTGCTTGATGTGATGGCATTAGGAAGTGGATTCTTTGGACAGTACTTAGGTCATTAGGGTAGAGACCTCCTGAAAGAGATTAAAGTTTTTTACGTAAGAGACCTCTCTGGGCGGCCTTGTGCCTTCCACACAATAAGCCTCTGACCCTGAAGAGGATCCACACTTAACCCTCTGACTTCCAGCATACAGAACTAGAAAAATAACTTTCTTACCAGAGCTTCTTTTTTTACTTACATAATGATGGACACTTGAGCTGCTTCCAAATTTTGGCTATTCTAGATATATAAAAGCCTAAGCAGCTGTTTGACCATTTAACTGGTAGCTCTGATGCACACTAACCACCAAGGGGCAGATGCTCAACGCACAGGCATGGAAACATGGAACAGACTATCTCAGAAGGAAGGAAGGAGGGGGGAAGGCAAAGAGATTAACCAAAGATCATATATTGCATACTAGAGGCCCAGTGCACTGATTCTCTACATCCTTGCCAACAGGTACATTTACACAATGAAATACTACTCTGTTGGAAAAAGGAAGTAAGTTTTACCCTTTGTCACAGCATGAATGGAACTAAAGGGCATTATGCTAAGGAAAATAAGCCAGAAAAAACAAGTACCATATGAATTCACTCATATGAGGAATTTAATGAACAAACTGAATTACCAAGCAGAGTAGAGACAGACTCCTGGATAGAGAGCAGGCAGACAGCTCTAGTTGGGTTTGGGGTAGATGGAGGGATGTGGCAGTATTGAGCAAAGAAGAAAGAACTCATGGACATGGATGACAGTATGGTGATTGCGGGGTGTGGGTGAGTGGAGGTGGAAGAGGGCATAGAGGGGATAAATAGGAAAAGAAAAAACCAAATTTATGTTGTTTGCAAATCACCCAGATATGATATTTTGTTATGGCAGCCTCAAAGAACTAAGAAAGATAGTGTAATGTACATGTTTATGAATGTTTGTGTCCACCCAAAATTTATATGGGTCTAGGGGTTGTTGGATCTGGAGAACATTCATATTCTAAAACTTTAAAAGCAAGGCTTATTCATCCCATATTAATATTCATTCATCTTTAATAACTGTGCATATCTTTTTTGTTCCTTTTTTTAAAGATGTTATCTTATATGAATAAATCACCAATTTGAGGTTACAGGTAAAGAAAAGTTTCCAAAATATCTATCATTAAGGGTATTTATGTGAAATACATATTTATAAATATTTCCCTTCAAATTGAATATGCAAAATATATTTTATTTTTATATGATTTGTATTACACAGGATTCACTGGCACAGGAATCTTTCTCAGAGGTGTGGTTTTCCTGGACCTTTAGTATCACCATTACTACTATCCCACTTCATTTGATCCCCTACTTACCAATTTCACCCTTTTTGGGTTGAAAGGACTGGCTTTACCTATGTCACTCTTCTTCCTCCTGATTTTTTTCCTTGTCATTTCCTTCAAGCTAGATTAGAGGAGTCAGAGGAATTCAGCTCATCAGCTCAGGCTTTGAGGTTGCAAACTTATGGTGCTATAAGGAAATTCGGTTTGAAAACTTCGTTTGTCTTTTGGGATTCTTTTTAATATATTTAAAGTTTTGTATAATATACAATGAAAGGTTGACTTACCCTGTATTCAAAACTATCTGGTAACTGTCATTGGAATCTATACTTATCAATTTCTGGAACTGAATTGTAAGTTGATTTCAGTAAGAAGGTGGTACTATGTCTGTATATACAGGGTTTTTATTACTGTCAAGCTATATAAGAAAATTGATAAGTATTTGGCTTTCAAAGTCATAGTAGTTCTATCAATACTTCCTAGGTATATGTGATAAATAGTAAATACTTTATATATGATTTCTTTTATTAATATATTTGCCTGCAGTAAAAAATAATAGATGAAAAAATTAGAAGCCAATTTATAACCTGAATGAACATAGTTATTTAACTGAGATAATCTTAATTCATGCTTCTATTTATTGCTTGCTTTTCACAGGAAGGAGCTGCAGGAACTGCAGAATCTTTACAAACAGAACAGTGCACATACAGCACAGCAAGCAGAATTGATCCAACAGCTTCAGGTTCTGAATATGGACACACAAAAAGTATTGAGAAATCAGGAAGATGTTCATACAGCGGAAAGTATATCTTATCAAAAAGTATGCTTTTATTCTGTCATAAAAATGTAAATTTACATGTATGAACTTATAAAAATATGTCAAATTCAATTTTTTCAGATTTCAACATTTCTTTATTATTCCCCTTTATATGTGATTCTTCAAAATTAAAAATGAAATATGATTCAATTTGGAAATATTTTAAATTTTGAGTTTTTTTTTCCAGCTGTTAAAGCAGAAACATTTAAAATATAGATGTAAATTTATTCTGTAGGATATTTTTTATTTGAATTTTGATAACCACTATGAAATGTACCAGGATGGATTTGGATAATGGAATTACTTTTCTATTATGAGAAATTATGCATGGGATTCTAGTTTATGACCTAAAGCTGTCTTTCATTATAGAATTTGTTATTTTATTGGCAAATCTGCACAAACACTGCGTTTATGGTGAAGAGATCTTCAGGATCAATATTACCGAAATATTTTTCTTTCTATTTTGTGTGTTTTTTTTGAAAAGTCATTCTACTTTTCAGTTGTTTAAGGATTTCCTTAAGAATTCTTACCCAACTGTTTAGGTTTTCTGATTCAGCAGCAATAATTATAGCTAGTACTTAAAATACACATTTTTATTGAATTCTGCATATTTTGTATCATGTCCTGAGTTATTTATATGACTATGTTAGTTCCTATTTAGGCCAGCCTTCTGAGATTGATGTTATTCCCTCGTAATAGTTGAACAATCAAAATATAGAGAGGTTAAATTGAGCAGTCTGTGTTACTTTGTTCTTGTTTTGTTTAAACTTCCTCTTCTAAAATATGCTTCATGAAAAGTCAATATCTATAATTAATATAAAATCAATCATTAAGTAAACTTTAAAACATACTTTTAAATGATGCTTTGGAACCATGCTTTTTCATCTATATTATTTGTTCCCTTTGGGTTTCCATCAGGATGTGGATGATAACAAGTGAAAGAGTAGTCCTATCTTCTCCACTTCAAATAGAACCAGCTCCACATTTTTGTTTTTGTGAGATTGCCCATTATGCTTTTGTTTCTAAACCAGTCTCCATTGCTAAAATGACGTGAAAAATTGGACCTTGTTAATAACTTAAAATTTTCTCTCTTTCACTTGCTTATTTAATTCAAGTATTTATCTTTAATTTTTGCTTCTAAGACCCCATACCCATGGTAATTTATATTCAAATGTAGCATGCTATTCTCTGTGAAAAAAGCCCCATCATTATTTTTCGCCACTGATTGTCCAAATCTATTTTTTTTTTAACATTTTGCTCTAACATTGCAATTTTTAAATTTTTGACCTCCTTTAGATTTTTCATTTTCTGTAGGTCTTGTTTTTCTTTTTTCATTAAACTGTATTCATTTTGAAGTTCAGGATTTTCTAACTTGGGAATGATTACACTGTTTTATTTATCACAAGTAAAGAGTGTGCTACTCTTCAGACTTCCAGTGTTCATTTATATTAAATTATTCATTCTAATCCTAGAGCAATTTACTTAATACTTGTCTCTATTCCTCTTCCACATGTATTTTTCTAAAATTTCCCCCAATAAAATAGAGTAATTTAATAGTCTATTCAACAATGAGTTAAAATTGTTTACTTAAACATTAAGATTTTCCAATATATTTTTACATAAATTAATTTTAGTTTTTTCAAATAATAATTTTGGCCTAGCTGTAAGACTTAGGTGAATAAAAAATAAATAAAATATTATATTAATAGTTTACTTCCACTTCTTACTAAGCTTGCTTCTTTATGAGTTAGGTATTCTTAAGTTATTGTTTCTAATTAGTTTATCTGTTTCCTCTCTTTACTTTTTCTGTTTGTTTGTTTCTCTCCCATTTCTCCTCTTTTCTCTTACTGATTAAGTTGATTTATATCATAGTATCCATTTCAGTATGTGAAGAGATAAAAAAAGCTGTTGCCTAGCCCTAGCTGGTTTGGCTTGGTGGATAAAGTGTCGGCCTCCAGACCCAGGGGTCTCAGGTTCAATTCCAGTCAAGGTTACATGCCTGGGTTCTGGGCTTGGTCCAATGTGCAGGAGGCAGCTGATCGATGATTCCCTCTCATCATTAATGTTTCTATCTCTCTATTTCTCTCTCTTCCTCTCTGAAATAAATAAAGTATACTTAAAAACAAAATAAACAAACAAAAAACCCACAGTAGCAGGATGAAGGGTATAAGGAAGAAAGACAAAGGTGAAGAGAGAAAACTGAAAAGAATTTTGAGCACAAGATAGAGTTGTGTCATATTTTCCCACAGATCTGTATAACAGACCATTAGTCCTATAAATAAAACTACCCAACAAATAATGTTCATGGCTCCTCTGGAAGAAAAGCACCCAGGAGAAATAAAAGTAGGCTAGTGTGTTTTCTTCCTCTGAATATGTATGTAGCCATTTATATAAGTTATAATAATTTTTCTATCTTTGTTGGTGTTTATATGTGTACCTTTAAATAAAGATGGGAATTGTATCATTATGATTTCTAGATCATCTAACATGTTTTGAGTTCTAAATATATATTTTGTCACCTTTTGTTCTATTTAATGATAATTATATGACATGAGCTCCTGAAAATTAAAGGACTTGAGTTTTGGGGCCCTATTTCTGGAGATAATTTGCTTTCTGTATCTTGGAAATCCTCTTAATCTTTTTTCAATTTTTAATTTCTTCAACAAACTATAGCTTGAAGAGTAATAAGCATAATAATTACTCAGGAATTATGAGGATGCTAATTCTAAAGTATATAGGGAAATATATGATTAAATGTTTGCATAGGCCAGAATCTTGTAAAAGATGCTGATACAGTCTATATTTATCAACTATTAGAGAAAACAAATTGGAGAGAAAAGACTCTGAAAACTGCTGTAAGCAGTTGTGATTGTTAATATGGAAAAAGTTATTAACCCAAGATGCCTAAACCATTGCAGATGAATGAATTTACTATATTATCTAATTTACTCACTTGAGAACTTTTGTTTTTACCCACTCTACTATTATTAATGAGATGAGAATAGATGCTACTTTTTCAGGGGACTGTAACATCCTAAACCTTTGCCCCTTGCAAGATCTAGAAAAATAAAAATTCTATTATCCTAAGAGTTTATCACCATAAAATATATTAGAAATGAAAAATAATCTTAACTTCCTTGAAGGCTTTTTCTTTTTTTCAGCTAAATTTACTGGTAGAGTGTATCTAGAATTAAAAATCGCTAAAGGTTGTCTTTGCATTCTTTAAGTTCAAAACTGAGTGAAGCCCATGCATCTATCAAAGAAAATATGCAAGTATGAGATGTACATTGGAATATGAATAAGGAAAAAGAGAGATTTTGTTCTAATTCCTGGAGCAGGGTTGGTCTAGGTCTAGATCATCTATTCTAGGCTTTCTCACTTCATTTTTACCTGTTACTTGGAAGGATGGGTATTTTCAGAGAAAGACAGAGCTTGCCTGTATCTAGAGTTGCCTATTCAATGATATCAAATCAAGCCAGAGCAACTTCTGAATAGGAAAGAGTACAACAGAATAAGCTGCATGGCAGAGAGAGCAAAGTAGAGAATACAAGAAGATTGCTGTTAATCTTCATTTTTATGGAAACAAGACAGAAGAGAGGGGGGAAAAACATTAAGATAGAGACTTCTTCCATAAATGATTAGGCACAGAGCCTTATACCTGTGAAGGAAGATCTCAAGACATGATACTCAAGAAAAACATAGAGCTTTGGCCTGCGAACTGAAAGGTCCCATGTTCAATTCTGGTCAAGGGCACATGCCCAGGTTGTGGGCTTTATCCCCAGGAGGAACTTGCAGGAGGCAGCCAATCCATGATTCTCTCTCATCATGGATGTTTCTCTCTCTCTCTCTCCCTCTTCTTTCCTCTCTGAAATCAATAAAAATATATTTTTTTAAAAAAGAGAGAAAGAAACATATACCTTATCTTTGGCACCAATGGAAGTAAATTGATTCTCAGTCCTGATCATACATTATCATCATGCCTGCACCTTGGGCAAATGGAGGAAAATGAGGAGTTCTTTCTTTGTCAATACTTATCATCGTTCATGATATTCTCAAATATTCAAAATCTGTAAATTCTTATTTATGTATTTATATATTTTATTTATTATTTTTGGCTAATCCTCACCTAAGGATATTTTTTCCATTGATTTTTAGAGAGAGTGGAAGGCAAGGAGGGCTTGGGGAGAAAGAGAAACATCGGAGAGAGAGACACATAGATTGGTTGCCTCCTGCACACTCCCTGAACAGGCTAGGGATCAAACCTGTAACTCAGGTACATACCCTTGACCAGGAATCGGTGTGCAGGCCGTCGCTCTAACCACTGAGTGCACTGGCCCGGGAGTAAATTCTTTTTTCAAATATATTTTTACTGATGTATAACTTGAAATCTATAATTACTTTAATACTATTTTCTATCATTTCCCTTCAAAGATGTTAATTTTTACTGATTGGGTAAGACTGGTTAGTACTAATAAGGCATACAAACAAGAGAAAGTGTTTGATTCTGTATGTTCTTGGACAGAAGACCTTTACTCATCATAGTTTCAAATCTTTCAAGTCAGCTTAGCTCTTGTCTCCAGATTTTGTGCATTTCTTTTCCTGCCTTGAACTCAATCATGAAAGCAGCAACATAGCACAGGTAGGTCACTGTAGGGCCCACTCTGATCCCTTCATTGTTCCTCAAAGCTGTCAGGTTTCTACTTGAACTTCCCTCCTAGAATATCTGAAGGTATCAGCTGTGGAAAGGACATTGGACATACTTCCTGGTATAAAGGTAATTGGAAAGGAAAGTACAAATTTATGTCCTGAAATTCTTTATAGACGATATTGACAACCCTTCCTTTATAAAAATTGCTTAGACTTTGGCTGTTAAGTGAAATGGATTATTTAAAATATAACAATATAGAGGTACAGTGCCTTACAGAGTCTAATGAGCTAATTACATGCCAGAGAAATGGTTTGGAGAATCTTATTTTTATGGCAAAGTATATGTCTGAGAAAGATCATTAGATTTCACAAGCCTTTTTTGATGGTAAACTTTTAGAAATTAAAAGTATAACATACATACATAAAAGTACTCTGCCATCTTTTGTATAGTTAGGTTTCTTTCCATAAAGCAAGGCCAACTAATGGAAGATTCTCACCATCTAAGAACCTACTGTATTAGCTTCATAATTTTGATATTCTCCCATTGGAGATTTTACTGTTGTTACAAGATCTTACTGTTCGCATATATATATATATATATATATATATATATAGTGAGATATCTCTCTCTCTCTCTCTCTCTCTCTCTCTAGAGAGAGATCTCACTATCAGCCACATATATATCTGTATAACAACATCACAAATCTTTGCTCTTAGATCACTTTCCCAGTTTCATCAACAAATACACATATAGATTCTTTATTTAAATCTGTTACCACAAAATGAATTATGTCTCATTAAATCACAATAAAAAATTAGGATTTTCATCAGAAATAAGTTCATGAGTATTTGGAGACTACCATTGTTAATCATATATGACTCTGCTTGATACCACTTATGTACCATATGCTATCTCACAGTTTTAATAAATTCTAATTTTAAATTTAATGCATGTTGCCTTGTGTTAAAAAATTAGTTATATATCATGCCCTTCAGAGCATTGCTTCTATTTTATCACACTTTGTTCAGCCTTTAATAAGTCTACAGGGTATCTTTATCTTCTGTCCATAGTCTTATTGCCTGACTTTGTCTCATATTATTTCTTTATCCCTCCTTTCCTGTTTGCACAGTAGATGCTAATTTATTCTAAATGGGAATATATCAGTTAAGGTCAATCTTAATGAACTCTCAGTGAAAGACTCTTGTTTTTTGTGTTGTTTATTTAAATGTGCATATTAAGTCCAATTAGGTTGATATATCTTATACTCCCTTTCTGTCCTTTCCTGTCACTGTACATTATTTTCTCACATTTCTGCCACCATACAATGACTTTTTGTTTTCATTCTATTTCTATAATACCACCAATGGCTCAGTTCAAGTCCTTTTTTTATGGAGCCGTTCAAGATTAATATAGCTAGCTAAAAGTGCTTCCATCCTCCTTAAAATTTTAGTACATTTTTTTATATTATGCTGACCAATAATATACATTGCTTTTTTAAATATCAGTTGTGGTTTTGATGTTTGATACCATTTAGTTTTCCATACGTTTATATCTTGTTTTCTCTCTTAGACCATTAAAATAATTTGAGTGCAGGGCTATCATAAATATATATTTTAATTGATTATTAATAGATTTGGATGTATTTTTTGAAACAGCTTTACAATGAGTTACATATTTGTTTTGAAACCACAAAATCAAGTGAAGCTATGCTCCGGCAAAGTGTTGTTAACCTTCAGGATCAGCTATTTCAAAAAGAGCAAGAAAATGCAAAGTTAAAAGAAAAGCTTCAGGAATCATTAGGAGCACCTTATTCTTTACCTCAAGAAAGCGATTCAGACCACTCAGAACAGGTGAGAGACATTTTCTAAAAATGCTGCCCATTGCAGTATCATATTAAATCATTTCCTACAATTGACTAAAACTTTAAATAATTTTGTAAGTATTAAATAATAAGTTGTGGCAGATCGTTTTTATTGTGCTATTTTTTATAATCTTTATACATGTTATACATAACATGGATTCATATAGAAATGCATGTACACATTAGGTCTAGAATAGTTATTGTGACTATACATTTTGATAATTTACACAAGTGAAGAGAAATTAATGTAACTAGGTCATGGCCATTTTGAGACTTTTTAACTGAATGAGTTAATAGAATGGGAAGGGTATTGTATGGGAAGTGTCATAAAGTACTTATTATAATGGTATATGGTACTTAATACCTTTTAGTCCCAGTTCTGCAGTGCCTTGATGTATGATTTTAGACAGTTCAGTTGAGCTTTCTATCTATATCCTGTACTATTAAATGAGGCAGTAAAAATGTATAGATAAATATGTAGGTTCAGAATGCAAATAAACCTGGGATCAAATTACAGCTCTGCCTATGAGCTTTGTGTACTTGAATAAATGTATTTTAACCCTTTCAGCCAGAGTTTCCTCATAAATAAAATGTTGATATTAATAGTATCCATGTAATAGAGTTTTTGAGATTCAGTATTATAATTAACTAGAGGCCCAGTACACGAAATTTGTGCATGGAGGTGGGGGGGTCTTTGTCAGCCCAGCCTGCACTCTCTCCAATCTGGGACCCCTCGAGGGATGGCCAGCTGCCTGTTTAGGCACAATCCCACTGAAACGGGCAGTTGGACATCCCTCTCACAACCCAGGACTGCTGGTTCCCAACTGCTTGCCTACCTGCCTTCCTGATTGCCCCTAACCACTTCTACCTGCCAGCCTGATGACCTCCTAACCACTCCCCTGCCAGCCTGATTGTCCCTAAGTGCCCTACCCTGCAGGCCTCAACTGCTCTTCCCTGCAGGCCTCCGTCCCCCAAAACTGTGATTCCTTGCAGGCCTGGTTCCTCTCCTGCTGGCCACCTTGTGGTGGCCATCTTGTGTCCACATGAGGGCAGTATCTTTGACCACATGGGGGCAGCCAACTTGTGTTTAGGGTTATAATCAATCTGCATATTACTCTTTTATTAGATAGGGTGACAAGTGTAGAGTTTGACATATAGCAAATATTCATTGGTACTTCTTTTTAGATAATCTTTAAGATAAGTTTCATCTCTAAATATATATTGTAAAAAATATCTTACACCTATACATTTATTTAGTTTTTAAGTACCCACTATTAGGTTATTTCTATTTTTTGGCTATCCTATATAATTCTATAAATTTTAATGTTAATTCATGCATCTGGCCTCTAGTTTTATTATATGTGATTATATCTTAACTATTTGTACATTCATTTGTAGATGGGTATTTGGGTTATTTCTATTTTTTGGCTATCCTATATAATTTTATAAATCTTACTATTTATAAATTTAAATCAGAAATGGAATGAACACTAACAGGTAATTGGGTGCTTTAATGTTTATTAATTATTGAAGAACAGTAACTTTTGAACTTAGCATATTTTGTCTTACTAATACATTTTAAATTTGTATTTTTTTAGGTTGTATATTTTGGACATTAGATTCACAGAATTTCAATAATCATAAAATTTGTATTATGACACAGTATTATGTTATACGCATAGGCCTATTTTATTTATTTAATTTGTTTGTCTATCATATTAAACACCCTTGGTCTCACCAACTAATCCAAGGACTATAATATTACTAATGACTGGTATTTACTTGTATGCTCCTTGCTTATCTGGTACTCTGACTCTCTCACCAGACATGACTATTAAACTGTTTATCATTTAGATTTTTTAAAATAAATTTTTATTGATTTCAGAAAGGAAGAGAGAGAGAGAAACATCAATGATGAGAGAGAATCATTGATTGGCTGCCTTCACACTGGGGATCGAGCCTGCAACCCAGGCATGTGCCCTTGACCGGAATTGAACCCAGGACCCTTTAGTCCACAGGCTGACGCTCTATCCACTGAGCCAAATCAGCTAGGGCCATTTTGATTATTTTTAAAAAGTTTAGCACATATACATTTATGTGCAAATTGTATATTGTTTATTTTGTCATTTCTAAAAATGTATCATATTGTATTGTGACTTGGTGTTGGGCAGTTTTGGCTCATTATGTTATTAAGAGTCATCCATGTTGTTTGGTATAATTGATCACTTTTAAAAATATATTAATATATATATATATTGATTGATTGATTTCAGAAAGAAAGGGAGAGGGAGATAGAAACATCAATGATGAGAGAGAATCATTGATTAGCTGCCTCCTTCACACCCCTATTGGAGATTGAGCCCACAACCCAGGCATATGCCCTTGGCCGGACTCGAACCTGGGACCCTTCAGTCTACAGGCTGATGCTCTATCCACTGAGCCAAACTGGCTGGGGCTTGATCATTTATTTTTAGGAGCTCCTCCTGGTGGTCAGTGCACTTCTCACAGCAGACTAACCTCCCACAGTCCCTCCCCCCACCCCCAGTCTGCCGGCCCCAATCATCTCCATAGGGACTTTTGGAGATGGCTCTGATCACCAGCCAGGCTGTGGGACCCCACCCATGACCAAATTTGTGCATCTGGCCTCTAGTTTTATTATATGTGATTATATTTTAACTATTTGTACATTCATTTGTAGATGAATATTTGGGTTATTTCTATTTTTTGGCTATCCTATATAATAAAAGTGTAATATGCATATTGACCCTAAGGGCAGAATGACCAGGAATGACCAGTTGCTATGATGTGCACTGACCACCAGAGGACAGACACTCAACATAGGAGCTGCCCCCTGGCGGTCAGTGCTTTCCCATAGGGGGAGTTTTGCTCAGCCACAAGCTGGGTTGATGCCTGTGAGAGCAGCGGTGGGGGGAGGGAGTCTCTCCTGCCTCCTTGGCAGCCCTAAAGATGTCTAACTGATGGCTTAGATCCACTCCCCCCGGGAGCAGGCCTGCTAGTAAGCTGGCAGGTGGATATCCCTTTAGGGCTCATGGGTTGCCAGAGGGATATTTGATTGCCAGTTTAGGTACCATCCTTTGGGGAGCAGGCCTAAGCTGGCAGGTGGGCATCCCCTGAGGCATCCAGACTGCGAGTGGGCATAGGCCGAATTGGCTCAGTGGATAGAGCATCAGCCTGCGGACTGAAGGGTCCCAGTGGGCGCAGGCCACGTTTTCGTGCACTGGGCCTCTATTTATAAATAATGCTACAATTGACAATTCTGTATGTGCATGATTCTTGGTATACATGTACATGCATTTTTATGATTCTGTAGTACTGGTAATATAAAGACATAGATCATATCTAGAAATGAAAATTCTAGAGCTAGGGTATGAAAGTTACTTTCAGAAAATACTGATAACTTATTTTTCAAAGTGATTTTTCTCAGTCTTACTCCAAACAACAATGTTTACAAGATATGATTGATTTTCATCCTCCTCAACACTTGGTACTATCTGATTTCTTAGTTTGTTGACAAGTGATTAGTATAAAGTTATTTTATTTTTATCTTCATATTCATATTACTGATAAAGCATAACTTTAGATGATTAGTAGCCAAGTGTATGCCCTCCTATGCAAGATGTCTATGTCTTTTAAACCTTCTTTTATTGGATTTTTAAAATGGAATTTGAAAGTTATTATGTTATTGAAATCAATTTGTAGTATGATAAATGTGCAAAAGATATCTCAGTTCGTATCTTTTCATTTTCATTAAAGTGTCATTTGATGAACAGAAATTCTTAATTTTAATTTAGACAAATTAATATTTTATAGTTTCTGCTTTGGTATCTCATTTAAAAATCCTTCTCAACCCCAAAGACAGAAATTGTTGCACTCCTATTTTGCTCAGAGTTTTAAAGCTTTGCTTATATCATTTGTATTCATAATTAAATAGGGATTGTCTTTTGTCTATAGTGTAAGGTAAGGACCCATTTTTGTTTATGTTTCTCTAAATAGTAACCAGTTTTTCCAGTTCAATCTATTGAATGATTCTCCTTTTTTCTTGTTTAGTGTTAGGCTGTCTCTCTCATTTATGCAAATTGAGCATATTTGTCAATTTATTTCTAGGTTCTATATTCTCTGTATTCATATGCAATGTTATAGTGTCTTAATTAGTATAGCTTCATAATAAGTCTATATATTTGGTAGTCCATGCCTACTTTTTTTTTCTAAAGTGTTTTGGCTATGTTGGGACTTAGCACTTAAATATAACTTTTAGGATATTTATAAGGTTTCATGAAAAAGAACTGATGAAAAATTTTATAAATCATTTTACTGAAGTGTAGTGTACAAATAAACTGTACACATCTTAAAGTGCATAACTCTGTGACATTTGACAAAGTGCACACATCCATATAAATACCACTCAGATCAAGATATAGAATATTACCAGTGTCTAATAAACTTTCCTGATGTTCTAATTACTACCCCTACAAATGTAAGCACTATTTTGACTCCTCTTATTAAATTTTTTGCTTATTTTTGAACCTTACACTATTACATCTTTAAACACTGTGTTTGTTGTGTGATTTTAAAAATATATACCCTTTATTACATTCAGAAAGTTCCTTATCTATTCAAAGTTTTTTGTGTGTTTGTTTTTAATCTTCACCTAAGAATATTTTTCCATTGATTTTTTTAAAGAGAGTGGAAGAGAGAGGGAAAGACGAGAGAAATATCTATGTGAGAGAAACATATCGATTGGTTGCCTCCTGCACATGCCCCGACAAAAGACCTGGGCCACGAGGAGCCTGCAACTGAGATACATGCCCTTGAACATAATGGAACTCAGGACCTTTCAATCTGCAGGCTGATGCTCTATCCACTAGTCAAATCAGCTAGGGCTATTCTAAATTTGATAAAAGCTTTTTCATGGAGCGGTATTGGGTATATGCATCTTTTGTAATATTTAAGCTTTTCTCATTTATTCTG